CGCCTCCGTGCTGCGCTGACTTGACATGAAATAAACATGCTCCACTTCGCGGGCATAGTGCCAGCATAGTCGCGGCGGTACGTGAGGAAGCTGAGACTTTCCAGCGAACATGTTGGCAACATGCCTACAACATAAGGGGGGGGGGGAGCTCATCTTGCGGGTGGAGACGTGAAAGAACATTTATTCATATCGCAACATTCTCGCCATAGCCGTACCCTTACAAGGGACGGAAATGTGGTACTTTCTACAGCTCGTTGAACCTGCCCATCGCCTATGAAAATATGTGAATAAAATGATCTGCTTTACAGATAGGAGTACTGTATCTCTAAGTCTTTTCGAGGGTGAGATCACATGCATTCTTGTTCATTGCGGATGAGGGGGCGTATTAGGCGGTAGGGGTTTAACACGAGCAACCACAGTTAGTGGAAAATGACTAATACGATGGTATGATACTATCTTATCGCTTGCTCGCTTCAACAACTGTGTAAAACTGTTTGGTGCCGCGCCAGACTTACACGCCTGGCACGCCCCTTCATCTGCAGCGAACAAAATATAAAGTACCCCCACATCTAGTGAGTTCTTGTGGCTGAGAAGAATCCCCTTGAAATCATTTTATCTTCTGAATGGTTAGTGAAAAAATTCATGATAAACATACCAGTGACGGCATGACATTCAACTACTAGTTGTAAAGTTTAGAAATGTACAATTTTCAGGTGATTGTAATCCTCGCTGTTGTTATACTTCCATTCACATTCCTGAAAAGTCCTGGAGAATTCTGGTAAGATCCACTACTTACTGTTTTTCGTTTCAGATTAATATAATCTAGAAAGTTAAGAATTCCCTGGAACTGGTACAATTTTGGCTCACTCCCGTGACCCTTTTCGCAGATTTTACAAAAGCAGAATCAAAGTTGCCGCTTCCAGCGGATATATTATGCCACAGCAGAAACAGCGAATATTTCTGAATTTATAGAAAAAAAACGCTTGTGTCTGTTTTTGTCCCGGATTCTTTCACCGCACGCTTGATCGTGATCCTTTTTGGAGCTGGAACACAACCTGTAATCTGATCTTCTAGTTTCCTGATTTCCTTGTGAGTATTACTACTGCCGGCCCCTTGCGTATTCCTTTCAGACCAGCCTGTTTTGCATGCCTGCCTACTACCTTACACACGACGTCCAGCTTCTTACACTGTCTGAGCTTACGCCGCTGTTACATGTGGTAGCCGGATATCCGATTATACACTACATTCCTCTGAGGGCACTCTTGGGTAGGACAGCCGTGACTTGTCGCTTCGTCGCGCGCGGCACATCGTGCAGCGATGCGCGGCAACTTCTCGGTGTTCATCAGTTTGCGAGTTGGGGGGGGGGCGAGACTCGTATCACCTCGAGCGGAGGCAAGTCTTCATGACGTGAGAAATTGAATTTCTCCATCCCTTTAACACTTAAATTCAAGCGACTAACTAAGACAACTCGTCCGTCGGGCGCGGTGTCGCTGGCCACGCCCATCAGCATGGCGTGCCAAGGTATTGTATAAATTTAGGGTAATGTGTGGGATAGAGTATCCTGAACTGGGCGTAAAACTGAGTGTCTGGGAGAGCGCCGAGTGCGCACTGTACCACTCAGTTTCGCCTCCCCCCCTACGCAGAAGCTGGCTAGAATTGGAGAACAGAATAAGAGTCTAACTTGCTCCTTGATCTCACTCAGGAGCTTTCTCCTGGACCGACCCGCTCAGTTTCACGCGCAGCCTTTGGAGGTACTGTATCCCGCCTGTTCCCCTGAATATAGCCTTCTGTGTGGCTTATTATGGCTTATTACAGTTGTCTTATCAGTTATCTGCTTTCTCCGAGCTGCGCATCGACACATCATACACTCCATATCTCAAAGATGGAGAGGGCGTGTCTGTGTACTTCATTTGAACGAGGCGGTCGCTACATTTTAGATAGGATATTGTATTTGTTAGCAAAATTTCGGCCATGTCATTGTCCAGCAAAAGACGGGATTACAGTTGTCTCAACTGCAAGTCTAACGTAAAGGAAGCTCTCCCCTCCACGTTTAAACGAGGTACGCGGCCACGCCCTCACCTTCTCCGCGATATGGAGTAGACGCTGTCGCGCTCAGCTTTAATTAATCCCTTTCAAATATCACTTATCATAAACCTATAACCTTCAGAGGAAAAAAAACCTTATTTTTAGGGGTGTGATCGTGCTTGCCATGATCACCACCGTAATCGCTGTGTTGTCAATTCTTGTTGGTATAGGAATTGACGCTCCTGCATGCTTCCCGGAAGTGGCATATCCTGTCCAAACATCTGGATCAATTATTTTGTCTCTTGGTGAGTTTCAGGACTCTTCTTGGACCAACATGATTGCTCGAAGAGCTGGGAGCAGTGCAGGTTTCTGATTAAGCCTTTAGCGAAGCCAGCAGCTCAATACACTCGTACGGCAGTAGTGTGTCTTTGTGGGGGCAGCTGAATATGATACTCGCGAATGCAAAAAGCCACTTTGAGGAGATCTGTCAGTCCCTGTAATCGAAGTGGCTACAGGCTGCATCATTTCGCAGCTTCCCAATAGTTTATATGTTTCAGGCAGCGTTCAGACTTTGCGTCGACGCGCGTTATGCAAGCGAAGTCTCCAACTGGCCTATCAAACTGAGATCATGCTCAATTATCCCACGAACTCGCGGAAGCCGGGGAATGTGCAAATTTGACTCCCTTTCCCACCTCCCCCACCCCTGCCTTGAGCCGAAACCACCCATTTCGCTCTAAGGCGATTGACTGCTTACTTGTAGGAGAATGCGTGTGGTATGTGTTTCATAGTAATTGAGTGTCGTGGAAGGCTTCACATGTACCGTTGACCCGTGTGGGTGAGCCGCTTTCTCTACGGCTTTTTTCTCTCAGCGAGACTTATGGTTAGAGCACTCATACATTAATGGCATTTCAAAAGTTCTGTTTCCAGGAATTTTCCTCTTCGCCTTCTCTGGTCACTACGTCTTCCCCACCATTCAGCATGACATGAAAAATCCGCATGAGTTCACTAAAAGTGTCGCTGTCGGATTTTTCCGTAAGTTTTCAACTTGCAATCACTTTTCCGAGCTATCCATGAAGAACGAGCCGCTACCCATCACCGAGGATGATTAGGAGATATGTAGGTCATCAACTCTGCGTCGCGCAGTTCGCGTGCTGTGCCGCCGGGCAGGGTCTGCGGCATGCGCGAGACTTGCGCGACGTCGCATTACGATTCACAGCCACGAATGGGAGAAATAGCATGTGCTATAGGGTGGTTCATAAGATTGAAGTTTCTGGCGAGATGGACCATAATTCCTTCTACGAGTAGTTCCTCACTGGTGGTCATTTTCTTGAGAATCTTTCTTGAGACCCTGTGGGATACCTCTAAGTTTTGTGCCCCCCCCCACCGGAAACTGTAATTCGTGAATCCCTGTTTTCGGTGAAAACCTTTCTGTTTTCAGTTGTCGTTCTTCTCTATATGCCACTTTCCGTGTTCGGATACATTGTCTATGGTGCATCGTTGGAAAGCTCTGTCATCTACTCCATACAAACCGGTTGGCTTCAGGTGATAGCAAATCTTCAAGTTATTCGTAACTTATAAGGCAGTTCTACCACCATAAAATTAGATTTTGCACAAAGGTGGGCTGATTTTGTCAGAGGAATTTGCTAGGGAGTTCTCATGTTTCACGACCAGTTTAAATACTTAGACTTTTCTGGTTTACAAGTCTCACTCTGGTGAAACCTGTGAACTCTTGTGAAGCTGGAGCAAGCTCGTCAAGCCATCATGGTAAAACCTGTCAACTCGAGAAGAGGCTGTCTAGATGGGTCGACACGTCGATGGGAAGTGTTAAAGTGCAAAATGCCCCCCCCCCCTTCAACAGCGCCGACTTTTCATTTATTTTGACGGCAGCCGTTTTCGCCGAAGCTTGGTTGCTAATCTTGTTGCAAAGCTACTGAATTATGCCTTAAAATTCGACCTCGGGTGGGATTCGAACCCGTATCCATGCTTATCGGGCGCTGTACTTGTTACACTACCAATCCAACGCCCTCTGTGCTCGGTATCTGCCGTAACTCATTCTAATTTCCTTTCAATGGATCAGAAAAAAAATTTATTTCAATGCCACTGATCGGCCAGAAATCAATAATTGATTTTTCAGCTCGGAGCTAACCTTATGATCGCCGTACACTGCATCATGACTCTTGTCATTGTTATCAATCCGCTTAATCAGGAAGTGGAACACTACCTGAAAGTTTCACACAGTGAGTTTTCAGTGCCAGTTTAACTCGAGTAAACAGTAAAAGGTGCACTGAGAAATGACGTTGCTTATCATGCGTGTAGCCCAGGGATCGAATTCGAGATCGGTTTTGCCCTGGCCAATCTAACCTTTCTTCTCTGGTCGGGTCAGCAATTTGGGCGTCATTCATCTGGGAGGAAGAAAGCAGGGAGTTGAACCTCAGCTAGCCCACGCAAGTCTTTACATAGACTGAGCGCGAATCAAAAACTAGTACGGTCCGGAACAGGGCACGCCGAACGCTGCGAAATCCCCACCTGGGGGGGGGGTGAGGCTTGGGTCATATAGGTCGCTGGAGGGGGAGAGGTGTACTTGCCATAAAAAAGTTTTACAGTTGATTTTTCCTGTTTCACGCGCGCTATACACACTGAAGACTTTCATTGGCGATCTCCTTCCTCCCCCCTCCCACAACTACAGACTTGACGGCTTTTTTTAGGAGAACTAGAAAAATTTTCGCAGCAATGAAGAAAAGTGGAAATGGTAGGAAGTTGGGAAAAGTCAGTAAGATGATGGGTAGGATGGAAAAGGGGGCAGGCCGTGTTTGACTACAATTTTTCCCAGCATCCGCCCTGGTCTCGAATGGGGTTCTAATACTGGCGCTGAAATTGCTGGAATTTACCTGCTCTGGCCCTGGTTTGCGTACTGCCCTAATCAATAGTGTGTTCCCTTACCCTGACTCAACCTTCAAGGCACGTTCTGTGATGATCGAATGGGCGACATTGTGCTTACATTGGTTGCACCTCCTCCTACAGCGCTGAAGATGAAAAGCGTCAGTGAACTACTTCTCTGTCTCCGCCCTTGCGACCAATGCGGAATGTGCCTTAATCACAGAAACTTGAGCGCGCCTACTATAAGAGCGTTCTAAAATTGCTGTCGCTTGGCGCTCACCGTGCTGTAATCCATTCTCTAGGAGCAGATAAGTTCCCGACCGCTGCCAGAGCTCAGAAGTCGACCTTTCTAAATAAAGATGAGTAATAAGCTAGCGCTTCAGGCTTTGGAACTGGACGAGTTCTCACGCGAACGACTGTACTTCTTCTGGTGCTCTTCGTTGGACTGTCTGTGCCTGACTTCTCGCCTGTGATGAATTTGGTAAGAATTCATTTTACCGTCGATATCTGCTTCCATTTCATCTCATTTTGCTTAGGTTGGAGCGTCTACTATTCCCGTTGGATGTGTGGTACTGCCATCATTGTTTTACTTATGGAGTGAAGCAGCGACTGAAGATGAATGGAGGAAAGGGCATACCCCATCACTGATGAGGTAAGGATTTTCGGGTTACTCCTCATAAAAAAACATGATATTCCATGGTTAAAAATTGTATTTCAGCGTGGATTCGCCGTACCGACAAGACGAAACTGATCATTAACGTCTTCATGCTGTGTGAGTTCTTGTTTCTCCGAACATTTCTTTTTGCTGACGTTTCGATTTGTTTCGAGATGGTAGTGTAGTCAGTGAACGTCGTACGATCTCAATGTGAGGCGTTATTTTCCGGCAGAAGGAAGTGTAGTCAGTGAACGTCGTACGATCTCAATGTGAGGCGTTATTTTCCGGCAGAAGGAGCTGAGGTCGGGTCTGGCATAAGAGGAGTTTTCTTATAACCGCTAATTTTTCCTGTCTTTCCCCTAGCCCCGTAACAGGATGCGCCGCAAAACTATATCCTAATTGCTGGTCAAAGATGTTCACGGAAGAGAAAATTCGTGAGGGAGGGGGAGAGGGAAGGTCGTACTCTGCAAAATTTTGCCCCAATGCCAGGATGTGCACTGCGCCACAAGTTCAAATCCTGGACCTGCACCGCATTCTGAGTCACGATTTTCACAATTTCCAAGAGCTTTTGGGATGTTTCTGTCTGCAAACAATGAAGTTAATTCGTCGCCACCAGAAAGGGACTCACCATTATTCAGTCGTGAATACGATACGAAGATGTAGATAGGGACAGCTAAGACAACATCGTGCGCCAGTGCTCCTAGGTTGTTGAATTACACTCCACGGCGTTAACGTAGTTTGGAACCACTTGTCCGCCTCTCTTTATCCCTTAAAGAAAACATAGTTCAGGTTATAGTGCAGACGACTACAGTCGGCGAATGACAGTCTCACATTGTCCCCTAAGTCTTGGTCCGGGGAAGGGATACGGGGCGCTGGCGAGTGGTGTTCCCCCCCTCCACTCGACAGCAAAATTTTCGGGGAAAAGTAGGGAAGTTTTCGGGAAATTTTGGAAAAAGTGGCAGGAAGTTGGGGAAAATCTGAGAATTGGTAGAAGGGGGGGAGGGTCGTATTGTCTCGCGGCTTTTCCTGTTTCACATGTGTCACATGTGGTATTACCCCCCCCCCCGCTCGACGGCTTGATTTGATGAATTTGATGAGGAGATGAGAGGGCACGGAGGGGGGGGGGGTGGCCGTACCAACCCTCCCAAAAAAAGGGGAGGGGTCGTATGGACTGGACTACAATCCCCAACCAATGTTGTGCGCTGGCTCAGTTGTGTCACAGCAGCCTAAATCCTGTGTGGTTTATTGGCGGCCTTACTTCAATGCGTGCTGACATGAGCTTATGAGTTGAGGGTAAAGTGCATTATCGGGGCTAGGATTGCTAGGAATGCCGGGCTATGAATGCTCTCTTGAGCGTGTACGCCTGAGAAGTACACCAGACAATCGAGGACCATATATTCGACAGCCGGAGCTGAAACTCACCCCTGTCCAGATATAAGTGTTCACCTATCTTCTCTCATCGTAAATAGAACTAAATATAAATAAAAAATTCTATTTCAGTTGTCGCGGTGGTCGGCGGTGTTCTCGGAACGATGCAGGGACTTGAAAAAATAGCAAAAGCCGAGTTTTCAGCTCCATGTTACATACGTGCCTTCACTGCTGACAACTACAGCAGCTCCTTCAAAATCATCCAGCAGTGAGTGAACTCATCCATTTTTTCACAATTGAAGAACACAGCCAAAAAGCGCAATTAACCGCGAAAAAAAAACAAATTAGATTAGGCCCGAGATGTTCGTGGTCTTGAAAGTGCAAATGTTCATACTCTAATTAGGTGTGGACGAAAGGGCGTGTCAGGCAGTGTGAGTGTGCCACGCAGCCAAACCCGTTCTCTGCCAGTTGTTGAAGCGGGTATGCGACAACATTTGGTAGAAAACGAGTGATACGAACGATATGATACAGTCTTGTCACTTGCTCGCTTCAACAACTGGTGGAGAACGGGTTTGGCACCGCGCCAAACTCATCCCATCCAACACGCCCCTTCGCTCCCAGCGAACTAGACTATGGGAAAGTTTTGCTGCCATTCAGTTAACTCACGGCAGCTCTTTCAAGTACCACATTACGAGTTCACACCTTGAGCTTAATATCGTATATTTCAGCTGCTGCGGACGTTACATGAATATTTCCACGTACAACGACACCTGTGGCGTCTAGCGTGCAATCATCCGTTGGGCGGACGGCGATATGTACGAGTTTCGCGCGGATCTCGTCCGGACGATAGCACGTCTAACTTGTGCCTGAGAATGTTTTAACATGTCATTTTGTTCGTATATATAAGTAGCTTAACTACGTCAGTTATATTATTTTGTTATCAAGGTCGATTCATAGTATCGGATATAATCATCAGGGAGCTTTGACTGCTCATCATTAACTCATCGAGGGAAACGATTTTTTTTCAATTTGAAGAGATATCTGATAGGTTAGTAGAGATTTTTCTATAGAAATGCTCACTTGTGAAGAATTCACTTGAACGTAGCATATCCGCGTTATGTTGTTACCGTGAATTCATTGATTGATTTTTTCATATTGTATATAGATCCTGTTATTTCGTACAGTTTACTTTGAACGAGTATCATTGTGACCGTTAATTGATGCCGAGTGGGAGTGGGCGTGTTCCCAAGCATGCATGACAATTCGTCCGCGTCTCGGACGAGTTAGCTCGCGCAAGACCGCTTCGGAGCACATCACATGCTAGCTCAATATAACACCACTAATATCATTTGTGCCATGACCTGTGAAACTAACTGATATGGTCAGAATCCCCGTGGAATTGTTCATCAACACCCCGGTGTCAAATGTTGTTGTTTATGTTCTACGTTCACTGTACTGTCCCCACCTTGAAAGTGCCTTTTCTGATAAAGATTTAATTGTGTGAAAGTAAAAGCGGGAACTACAGGGCAGATTAACCCCATCAGGCGTTCTCTTAGCAACTGGAGTGGAAAACAGCACAAGCAGCGCGCGGCTGCGATGCGGCATGGTCCATTTCGCGCAGACACTTTCAGTCATTTCTTACTTTTACTTCATTTACCCATAAGAATCTCAAGACGGAGAGGGTATAGAGGCCACTTCCAGTCAAGAGCGTATCGGAAACCTTCGCGGTCAGCTCCTACAGGACTAATCTGGGAGGAGGAAAATGCTGAAATGTGCTTCGTATAAATGCCGCAAGTCTTTTGATGGTCCTATATCACATGGGGATTTTATGGGCGTACCTAGATGCATTTTCTCAATGTGTCAAAGGCTCTGACCACATTGATCGCATGGGCGGAGTCGGTCAACTCTGTGCTTTTGTCGTGCTCCTTTCTGCAGTCTTAGAAGGAGGAACGCACCAATGGGGAAAGCGCTGTGGCTAGCCGTTTCTGCCCTTACGATCGTAGTGAATAATGCCTTGAGAAGGACACAATCATATGAAACGGAAAAGGCAATTGTAATTTGTCAAGCACCGTCGCAAAACTCAAACGCTCAGGCAGGGAAGCTCGTCTCTTGCGAGTGCGACGTCGCTTGCCACGCCTACAAGCGCGGCATATTAAAATTGTCTGGTTATATACCCACAGGTGGCGAGCACCCTACAGAAGGCGAAGTTGTGACAGAACCAGATAATGTACACGCAATATACCCCAGCCTACATCACGTTCAATGAGATACACAACCACGCCCCCCCTCCTCGTTCTGGGGAATTGGGATGTGAGCGTCACCGTGCATCAAAACGCGTTTCGTTTCTGCGCACTCCAGCTACATGTCAAATAAGGGAGCATTGGGCCGATCAATCCCGCGACTCAATTTCCGCATTTTTACATTTCTTCCCATTTATTTGTAGGAGCGAAAGGGATTTCACTGTCTTTCATTTCTTTACTATTCTTCTTACTTATCTCAATCATTCTTTCCTTTGCTACTCCATTCATCTCTCCTGTTTTTTCTGGACTTGACCCTGCAAAACTAAATTGAACCCGTGAATTCGGAGATCAAACTTCGATTTTTTCATTCATCCTGTCTTGATCTACACCCACTCGATTCTACAAAATGCTCCACTGAAAGTTCACACTTTTTTTCTAAGTTTTCCTTTCACTTTCTTCCTTTTCACTTTTTCTTCTTTATTTTTTGCGAGTTCTCTTTGTAGGTGATATTACCTTTCTTGCATAACTATCTACTCACCATTTCCCTCCTCTATCGCTTTATTTCTCCTCTATAGTGTATGGCTTTATTTTTCTCCAGTTGCCAGTCAATCTACTTATTTTTGTATTTTCTACGACCATTATTATTTATTTATTACCGTTATAAAGCCATACATGGGTTATTTGTACCGAGTTGTTATGCTTTTCTGGATTCAGCTAGTTTATTTTCTTTTTTTTACACAGGCCCATGTAATAAGTCGATCAATCAACTCATTACGCATTTAGGTTACCCTTATTTTTTTTACTTTTCGTGGTTCACTGTGTACAGGGTACAGCATCGTGATGTGTGAAATGGTAGTGTTGGTACAGCCAATCCCCCCTCCCACAACACCTACCTACCAACTTCCCTCATTTTCCAGTTTTTCACCCACGAATTTTCCGTCGCGAGGGGAGAGGAGGGGATATAGTACACAAGAAACAGGCAAAATCGCGAAAGGTCAACAACCAACCGAGTCAAAAAAAATTTTCCCCAACGCCACAAATATACTCTCGCAAAGGCCACACCGACCTCTCCTCCCAACGACCAAATATGCGAGCCCCCCAACCTCTCAGACGGAAAGTACGACACTCCCCTAGTGCTATTCAATTACAACGAAATGCCCCCCCCCCCCTGTACCCTGACTGCTGCTAACACCCTGAAGCTGCCTGCCCGAACTAACTGAAAGCCCCTGTGTGTGCCGAACTAACTTAAAACTGTGTTTCCATACAAACACTCGAATATTTCTTGACATTGCTAGAATCACACGAGGAGATTGAGCTGAGATTGAGATTGATCTTCTGAGGTTCCTACGCTCCATATCCCAGACATGAAGAGGGCAGGGCTGTGTACTTCAGTCAAATTCTGGTGGAGGGCTGTGCTTTCGGTGGGATATTGCCGTTCCAAGGCAAATGTTCAGGAGATGATGAACCTATGTCAGGTACAAAAGAAAGCCTTGTA